ATATCATCTGCATTGCCCAAACGATATAGTGACCTGTGATGTTCTATTTCAGGGGGCCCTGTGGTGAGGGGAGGCCGAATGTCAGACCCAGCGTGCAGCCTACCTGTCTGTAGTACTACGCTGCTTAAGATGACAAATGCATGCACCGCCAGGCAGCCTCGGTGACGCTGCAAGCTGCGCCGCCGGCGCCATCCTCGGAGGGTTGCCGACGCCCCTACACTGACGAGCCTCAAACCACGTGACTAGCTAACGTGGAGAGCGTGGCGTGGTGCGGAGAGAACCGTATCGGGCTAGTGCATGGAAAGACATTGAAGGCAGCGAAAGATGCTTAAACTGGGAAGCCGGGATGCTGGGTCTGACAGAGTTTGGGGAATGGGGATGCTGGGAGGAATGGGGTGTGGTGTGGGTGGAGTTATACATGGTGATCGGGGTAATTGGGGTGTGTCTTGTGGGTGTGGTGATGGGATGTATTTAGGGCGCTGGGACGGGAGTCCTCCCAGGGCTGACTTTATTTTCAACATAGCGAAATAAAACCTTTGTTGGATACTGCAACGTGCCTAGTGTTTTGGTTCCCTTGACCACAATTAGGACGTTCTTACAATTTGAATATTCTATTCTATTCTATTCTATTCTATTCTATTCTATTCTATTCTATTCTATTCTATTCTATTCTATTCTATTCTATTCTATATTTTTTATATTTTAGTCCAGTACAGAAAAAAAAATCAGTCTATTTTCTAATATACTATATTTCAAAAATAGACATTAAAGAAATGTTAAATGAATGAGGGCCATAATGGTTTGTTGTTATGAGTACTAGCTCCTCATTACTTTAATTCTCCTTTTTCTGCTCAGCCTTTTATTTATTTATTTGCATTACATTTTTTTGACTAAAGATAGATATTGTCTCATATTATTATTGGACTGGAGAAACAGATTGTAACCACAACAAATAAACAAATAATTTATTTTTGCTATTTGACTGTCAGTCCCATGAATTCTTATTTATTTAAATAATGTCATGTTTTAAAATATTCCAGTAACAAAAGTATTTCATTCCACAAAAATCATATCAATCAATGTATGTATTTTTCCTTCACTTCTTAGAATCACTTCTTTCCAGATATTAGAGGTCCTCCACCTTAAAATTCATAATAAAATGCACATGTTTGAACTTCAAAATTTTAACCATTCCGCCAATATTACTGTAATATTCTCCTTCTTGTTTTCTAGGAAATAATGTAGACAAGGTCTTTGGAAATATGGAACAATTTTTAAATGTTTATGTGTATAAATATACCATTTTTCTACTTGTGTTATTTCAACAGAAGATGGCCTAGAATGCTAGAAATTCTGATTTCCTTTTCAACATGAAAGACTAGATTGCCTTCATCCTTGGTTTTACTTCTTTTTGTATGTATGCTAAGTGAAACCAAATATTAAGGCAAGTCACTAGTACTGTATATCAGAGATCCCCAACCTTTTGGGCACAAAGGACTGGTTCTGTGGAGAAAGTTTTTTCCGTGGACCGGAGAGTGCATGGTTTTGTGTGCTTCCTGCATCCCACGGATGGGGCTTTGCTTGTTTGTGTGGACCGGTTGCTGGCATGCTGCGGCCCAGTACCAGTCCACGGACTGGGGGTTGGGGACCCCTGCCATATATAAACTGAGACCATCCCCACTTCCTTACTAGCCCTCATGAAGTTACTTGTTTAATAATGAAATGTCTAAACAAAACAACCAAGCTCAGAGAGCACTAAAGTCCCCATAGTTCAATATTTGTGAGCTACAAATATTCTCTTCTATCAAAATAAAAAGTGAATTTGAAAAAAATGAGAGCAATTATCGGCTGAAAAATGTACAACTTTAGGCAATTTTTATGAACATAAACATCATGCATAAAAATATTGCACAGGCAAGGAGTGTTTCTGGTGACGTCACTGAAGATAGACCCGGGGAAGAGACTCTCCTTTCCCCAGGTCCGATTTTCATCTGCCGGTGAGTCCATTTGGACTGAAAGCTGCCCCAGAGAGGTGGTTACCAAGGGGTAAAACTTTGGGGACCACGGGTTGGTGGTAGCCAGTTCATTGAAGCCAAAGGAGTCCCTGGAATCGGCAGAAGAAAGGCGGATTGCATTTATGTGATCCGCCATTAACAGCTGATTGTCGGAGACGGAGAAGCAGTGCAGAATGACAGCAAGCAACTGAGCCGGGTAAGAATACTGTCTTCTTTCCCAGTAGAGATGGATTTCTGGCAAACAGCTCTTCTACAGCCTGAGAGCGAAGCCTCTTACTTCTAGGGAGGGGGTGGAGTTTCCCCCCCCCTCCTGAATACAAGCGGTGGTTTAAGCTATTTTGCAATTTTAAAAACTTCTTACATAGTAAAGCTGTCTGAGGCTCAAAAGAAATTTGGGAAACTACTGTTCTTTTTATAGACACTTTTTTTCCTTTGTTCTGTGTTGAAAACCCACTGCAATTTTACCTGCTATTTTTAAAAGTCTATAAACTTTTTTTTTCTCTCTTGATTGCTTTTTCTTTTTTTCTCCTTTTTTTTCTATCAAATGTGCTGGGAATGGATACTTTGTGTTCCTTGGTGGTTACATTGAGAAATATTTTCACTTTTTCTTGTCTGGAGTTTATTCAGATCAGAAGCTTGGCTGTATGCCCAAACATTCTTTATCTAAGACCTTGAAGCTTGTTGAAAAAAAGACTTCCCTTTGGTTTATTTGGCTCCACAAGACAGACTATATTTATACACAAATGGTACTTGGGGCCATCTGCCTCCTTGGATTATAATTATTGTGCTTTGGAACTATAATAAGCTCTCTTAGAAGAATTGGAAACTAAGAAATCTTTCTGAACAGAATTTGGTGGATTATAATTTTGACATTTTTGCTTTCTCCTTTTCTTTCTCCTTTTTATTTTATTTTCCCTCTCCTCTTTTTATTATTGTCTCCTTCCTTTTTTCTTGTTGCTATTTTTTACCTTTTTCTTTTTTTCTTTTTTAACTATTTTTATGGATTTCCCCTCCTAGCAATAAAAGCCTACTGGATTATAATTGGCCATTTGGCTACCTGGTGGATTACAATATAAGATATAAAGCCAAAGATGAGTGTTTCAAACCTGTCTAAACTTGGGAGAAAAGGATCTTCCACCCCTGCTTTGACTTCTCGCAAAGTTGGAATTGATTGATTGAACTTTTTAGTCCCACCCAGTCTGCCGTTACCACTGCAGCCACATCCACCCAATGGACCACACCTACCCAATGGGCCATGGCCGCCCAGCACCCGACTATACATAAACGGGTTTGGGTTGCAGTTTGGGCACTCCATCTCTAAAAGGTTCGTCTTCGCTGTCTTAAGGAATAGTTGTGCTGCACGGCATTCATGACACTTTATGTTACATTTTTAAAATGTAGTTAAATGCAGCCCATTATTTCAAAATTGGGCATGGAAGAAGAGTAAACCAATGTTGCAAATATTTATCACCAATAAAAAACCCACAAATATTTTCTTTTTTAGTTCTAAATTCAAACATTTGTCATTGTCAGTTTATATATTTGCTGCTTTAGATTATGTAGACTGTTCTTTTTTAAAAAACTTTATTGTTAATGCAATATCTATTTGTAACCTCTCTCTCCATCCATCAACTGAAAATATGCCAATTTTCTCCTCAACATCAACATATTTTTGTATGTCACTGTTAATTTAACCACATAAGATATGAAACTCTAAATAAACAAAATGCTGCCAATAAATCACAGTTTATTTGTTAGAAACATTTGTTTCTTAAGCATATGACTAGCAAAACATCACATTCACTCACTAGGCATTCTGGCATAATTCTCCTTAGTATAGGGAAGATAACATCTAAACAAAATGCCTCAAGACTGGAGACTACATCAACATCTGTGGAGGCTTCAAAGTTGCCAGTCCCAGACAAATCTAGTACACTTTCCCACTGCCTCCTACTGAGATAAACTGCCTGTACTTTTGGTGATCTTGGATGCAAAAGGACCGTTGGTACCATTAACTCTTGGAGGTTATAGAGAGGAATTCTGGGAGTTGGTCCACAAGTCATAAAAGGGCCAAGTTTGAAGATCCCTGTTATAGAGTAATAAACTTTGATCTAGAGGAATCAGGTTGATCCTAATTTCTAGGTTTCAGAATCCACTATAAAAAATAAGCAACTATCAAATCCAGGGAGGGAAAAAAAAGGGTTATGTCATCAATTCCACTTTTGAGTCCTAGCTTAGGAGCTTTGATCCCATGTTAATGAGAACAGTGGTAGCATCTCTTGTTCTGCTCTATAGTCTTGGCCTCTCCTATTATGATGCTAATGATGGAAATAGCAACTGTTGAAAGTCACCTCATTGGTTAAATCTCTGGACAGAAGATTTGGGACCACTGATCTCTTGAATTACAGTCTTATATGTGGTCTATAGTAAGTCAGAACTTTTCCAAAAAACCTGAACTTCTGAAACATTTGAACTGTGCAGGTACAAAACACCATACATTTGAACCCCAGAAGCTATAGTGAAGAAGAAGAATCTTATGAATAACACAACACAAAAACATTTCCACAAATGTGTCATAAATGGGGGCCAGTGTGCCTGCCTGAGGAATTCTAGGATTTGAAGTCCATAAGTCATAAAATGACCAAGTTTGAAGACCCCTGGCTTAAAGGCAGAAAGATAACACTGAGACTGCAAAAGTCTTTCTAGGATTAGCCCTAAAGGAGTTTCTGTTTTCATCAGAACACAAGCACTAAAATGCTATTGAAAATGCTATTTTCAAGTCCAAAGGTGACTTCTTAAGTAGTTGCAGTTGTGTGTCACTCAACATTTTCATATGGTCCCTGTATGATATTAGCTGTGCCTTTAAACATCAGGCACGTAGAAGAACAAAAGGTGCTAATTTTGAAGCAAATTCAGTCAATGCTTTGATACACTGGCCTATTTTTCCAAATGATATTCACTTCTGCAATGCACTTAACTACTTACTTGAAAAGTTCATTCCTCATTATAGCACGGTTTGTCTGAGGATCGATTGCATAGATCATGAGGTCAGATTTGGAATAATCTTCTTCTGAATATCCATCACCATATCTGCGAGCACCAATGGATTCCACCACAACTGTTGCACCAGGAATCTGGTCTTGCACATAGCGTTCCAAAATCCTGATAATGGAAAACTTTTTTGTAATTTATTAGCTCTATTCTTTGACTTATTTACAGTGAAACAAAAATGTTCAAATCTTAAAATATTGTGCAGAAAAGGAAGGAAGGAAGGAAGGAAGGAAAGAAAGAAGGAAGGAAGGAAGGAAAGAAGGAAAGAAGAAAAGGGAAAGAAGAAAGTGAATCCAGAAAAACTAGTTGCAAGCATGGGGTATTTAATTCTACCTCTTAGTATTATACTGTATTGGGACTTGAATTTTAAATGGTTTAAAGGGAAATTGCAAAGATATTTTACAGAGGGAACTGATAGGCATGATAAAGGAATAGGTTTTATCTTTTTTACAGAAGCTATTAAATTCCACAAACTATGCTCACAATGAAATGCAATAAGTATATAACACAGAAGTGGCCACACATCTCAGGCGTGTAAGATTTATGCCTCTGAGAAAAATTGGAGCACCAGATTGTCAGGCATAACAGAATGGAATAAGTAAAACTGGCAGTTAAGCCACAGTTTTTTTCAGAAATCGAAGAACTTGTTAACAGATTGTTTAAACAATGCAAATGCAGAGCTACAGTATGTTAGCAACATGGAAAACACGGCTGACAATTATTAAAGATCCAGCCAGTTTCCTCTATCAACATAAATAGATTTCCATAAATATTTTCTCTTGCGTTTGGCTCTTTAAAAGTATCAGCAATAATGATTTAAATAAATATCACTAGCATTATGGAGACGTGACTCACTTAACAACTTCCTGGCTCAGCAATGGAATTTCTGGTCCCAATTATGATCAGAAGTCAAGGACTATCTGTACAGGTAGTCCTTGACTTACAACAGCTCATTTAGTGACTGTTCAAAGTTACAACAGCACTGAAAAAAGTGATTTGTGACTGTCTCTCACACTTACAACCATGTCCATATGCGTAGCTGACTCATCTTTATGTTAGTCACAGTTTCCCGGAGTCATGTAATCACCTTTTGCAACCTTCTTGACAAGCAAAGTCAATAGGGAAGCCAGATTCACTTAACAACTGTGTTACTAACTTAACAAAAGCAGTAATTCACTTAACAGCTGTGGCAAGAAAGGTCATAAAATGGGACAAAACTCAAACAAATGTCTCATTTAACAACAAACATTTTTTTATTACTACTACTACTACTACTACTACTACTACTATTATTATTTCAATTGTGATTGTAAATCGAGGACTACCTGTACTACTTTTGCTAAGAGTACTGTGAACAACAACACCATTGATGTCTTGGATAATCTCATTGACCCTGGAAGGTTTATATTGATACTTTGTTCTAGCTGGAGTCCCAGTGATTACTTGTCTATTATAGCACCACTTAGTCTGAGGGCTGCTGATGCTGATACTATTTTCTGAATTCTTCACTTCAGAATTGTGATGTATGCAATGGTCCATGTGACATTGCTCAGTTCTGAATATGAACATTTTTATTTATTTAGACTGCGAGATGGGCAGCATATAATTTCAATCAATAAATAACATTTAACACTGATTCTTTATGTATTTACTATTTTAACAAAGAACTCTAGATAGCAAACATAGCCAACACACCTGCCTCCTCCTTTCCCCCCCCCAATTCTGTGAGTGGGTTGAAGTGTGACTAGTCCAAGGTCACCCAGGTCATTGTTAAGGTAGGACAATATATATTGCCTCTTCTATTATAATCATCCTTCAGAAAGAGAAATCTAACGGTCCTCAGTATCATGAATTGGTGAAGTAATTACTATTACTTTTCTGAAAATCAAGTATTTTTGCCTTAAAAGTTAGCATCATTCACAAGACAACAAGCCTTCATTAGTGTTACAAATGACTCATAAATTTTAATAATTTAATTGTATTGATGGAGGTCCCCATTAAGATACTGTGTCTTTTTTTTAAATAAGAAATGGGGGGGGGGAACTAATAGGGCCAAGTTTTTGTTTTGTTTTGTTTCACTAAAAAGGCAACTATAGTAGAGTTTCGTTAATAATATTTTGAAAACAGGAAAGTGGGATTTATCTTGCATGGCCAGCCTGAATTTCCTTGCTGCAGTTGCTATATTCTTTGATTCCTTTCAAGCTCTGCATACTAATTCAAAAGAAAGCTGTGCAAAGTTAATTAAGCTTAGAGAAACCCCTTCAGCAAACACTTGGGTTAATTTATACTTTTATATAAACTCTAAGCTGCGTTGATCAGTCAGTAGACAGGGTTGCAGCACAGATGATTCTAGTCACATGGCTTTGGAGATTGATTCACAGAACACATGAAAAGGATCTAAGTTTTAGCTCATCAAATCATAATGTTTCTTGAGGCAAGTTAAACAATTAGGGACCACACCGATTCCTTGTATCAAAGCTTAGGTGGGATTGCCTGAACCATGTTTAGTGGACTTGTTTAGGGACTACTTAATTTGACTAACCTCTAGGGTTATTTTTTTTAATATGGTTTTATGATTTACCACTGATGTTACAGTCTCACTTCCCCTTTTGATATGTGCAATGTCACTTACATGAGGTGCTCTTGAAGACCATTCAGACACTACAAATCCATAGATCCAGAACACAGTGGTACATACAGTATTGGTTGTGCATGTCAAGCTGTTACATGAGCTCTCAGTTTCCTTCCTGGTGCAATTCAAGATACTGTTATTACATTCAGAACCCTATTGGCATAGGACCAAGTTGTATATGAAACCACCATTCCCTGAGAGTATCAGTGCATCAAACCAGATTGGATAGAGTAGGCAGACTCCAGTACCCATCCCTGAAATCTTTCCATCTAGTGGGACCTTGGAAGTGTACCTTTTCTGTAGCTATCTTATAGAACAGAGTTCCTCAACCTTTCCGGCTTTGAGGACTGGGGGATTGGATAGTTCCATGAGAGCGTCTGCCAAGCACATGGACACAGTTCTATTTGCACAAGTGGCATGCATATGTGCCCGCCGCTCACACAAATGGAGCTTGCATGCACTCTCTTGCCCACTGCTGGTGCAAGTGGGGATGGGTGTGCATGTGTGCATGCATGCTCACCTCACCATTTCCATGGCCTGGTTGCAAACATCTCATGGCCAACTAGTGGGTAGCAGCCCAGAGGTTAGGGGCCCCTGTTATAGAACACCCTCCACACAGACTTTTTGACAGGTTCCCACCTTTTTAATTTTTCAGAAAATCATCAAGACATGGCTTTTTAACTGGGTAGAATGAGGATGTCTGAAGTTGGTTGTGAGGTATGATTAAGGCACCATGTTCTGTTTTGGTTTTATGTGTTATGATTTTTATATTTCTGATTTCCATTATTGTTATGCACTGTTTTCAGTTGGGAAGCCAAACAAATCTTTTAAATAATTCAGTAAATTACAAAAATTACCAGATTTTTTTTGTATGTCTTTGGATCAGTACATTTTTAATCATAAATGACTTTTTGGTGGTTACAGAATGAAGATATTCATTACCCTATAAGCTGATCTTTGCTTTGTTCTACAAGAGTAGGAGGTACATTTGACACAATGACTTGCATATCCAGCTGGTTGACTATTGAGACCTGAAACAGAAAAACAAAAATATAGTGAAGTCTGCAAAACATGCAATATATCTCAAATAGAAAATGAATCTCATTTAAGAATTTTCTTTGATTGCCAGCAGTTTGGAGCCTGAATGGAGAAACTTATTATAATAAAATAACAAGACAATTTTCTCTCCTTAACCTTGGTGGGATATGAATATGGCTGCAATACTGAGTTTTTAAAAGGCATGCTTTCATTTAAACCAAGCCACATTTTATTATTACATAATATACAAGGGACCATCATTTGTGTATTGACTTTTGTTTTTTAACTGCATAAAGTCTGCCTGTAGCTTTTTGTGTCTTTTTATTTGAAAATTCACTCTCCAAATTGTACTAGAATCTTAACTGGGTATAGGATTTGTGACACCGAATTGATCCTCAATGGCATTATCTATATTTAAAACATATCATTCCCTATCAGTCTCTATCCATCTATCTATAATAGCAAGAGAAACAGAGCTGGAAAATCTCAAGTCATATTGACTTCTGTACAGATAGTCCTCAACTTACAACAATATGTTTACTGACCGTTCAAAGTTACAACGGCATTTTTCACACTTACAACCATTGCAGCATTCCCCATAGTCACGTGATCCAAATTCTGATGCTTGGCAACTGACTCATATTTATGACAGTTGCAGTGTCCTGGAGTCATGTGACCACCTTTAGAGACATTCTGACAAGCAAAGTCAATGGGGCAGCCAGATTCACTTAACAACGTGTTATGTTACTAACTTAACAACCACAATGATTCACTTAGCAAATGCGGCAAGAAAGGTTGTAAAATGGACTGAAATTCACTTAACAACTGTCTCACTTAGCAACAGAACTGTCAGGCTCAATTGTGGTTGTAAGCCGAGGACTACCTATACATAGAGAGTACACAAGGAGGGCACGCACAAGGTAACTGAAAGCTCAAGGAGAATTTATCCACTTGAACATTGAAAGAGCTGATCAAGCTGCATTTCTACTTGCCCTTCATCTCAAATGCAGTAATAATTTTGTTTGCAAGAATGGAGTGTCATTAGGAAATTATTGAATGAATAGTATAATCTATATGCAACCGAGACTGCAAGCAGAAAAAAAAAATCATGTTTTCCTTGGCCATGTAAGACCATGCTTTTTTTCAATGTCTAGGTAGGAAACAGAAGCAATTGGGTGGTTAAGAGTGAAATTGATACAATAACTTCTACAGCCCACACATTAGTCAAGTAATTTAAGCTAAATGAATGGCAAGCCAGCATACAAATTCTATAATAGTACCAAACCACAAATCAATGTACAACTAAAGCAAATGGTTGATATGCATACAAATTATAAAATATGTTTCCTGATGTAGACAAAACTAAGTCTCTTAAGAAGGTTAAATTTCATTAGACTTTCCAAGTAATTGAATTGCATAAATAGCTTGCTTACTTAATGGCTTTTAAAACTATTTAATCATCGTGTAGAGAGATAAAAGCCTTCTGGATTAAGGTATGGTGGAATATTCAGAGAATTTTTAGAAGGAGGGTAAAATTTACTCCACAACTATTCTTGTTAGGTATAGTTACTGATTGTGACACAAAGGAGGTTACATTGATGTTAAATTTGATTACAGCCGCAAGGCTGTTAGTAGGACAATACTGGAAGAAGGAATCTTTGCCTACAATGCAGGAATGGTTTCTTAAAGTGTCTTATTTGGCGGAAATGGCAAAGATTTCGGCTTTTTTAAAGGAACAAACGCAAGAGAATTTTCTTGCTGTTTGGGATAAATGGATAAAATTTATACAATTTAGATTGGATATTAAAAAATACTATATAGCTTTTCTATAACTTTTATTTTTATATATATATACATATATTTCAGTGTTATATTTTTCTTTTTTTATATATATATATAATTTTTTAAAAATTCTTTCTTAATAAAGCCTATATTCTGCTCTGGGAAGCTCGGGGGGGGGAAGGGGGTGGGTTTTTTGGGGGGGGGGTTGGGGAAGGGGAGTTTTGTTATGTTATGTTTAGTTTTTTATTTTGTATATGTTGTTTTTTGTATTGTTATTTTGTTTTTCTGTAAAAATTTATAAAAATTTTCAATAAAAAAACAAACTATTTAATCATCATGATGTTGGAAACATAATTTGATATTCTGCTAGGCTATGAAAAGTATCAGCATTTCATGATATAAGTCTTTTAGATAAATAAATATATCCAGACAAGTCCTTGAGGGAAAAATCCTGGGACTTTTCCAAGCAGAGACCCAGCTCCAATAATTTATTCAAAAAATTCTAATGTGGCGGATATTTTTTTCTTGAGGTGTGTGTGTGTGTGTGTGTGTGTGTGTTGTGTGTGAGTATCATCTTAAGTTTTTTTACTGTACTTTTTTTGTTTTTCAAAATTTTACCAATAATTTTTTTAAGTGAAATTGCCCCTTCCTCAACTACCAAGTACTTGCAATCACGGCACAAAGCAGAGCTATTTCCAGTTTTGCCTTGTAGGTGTGAAAAGTATCACAAGGGATATCATTGGCTTGCCCTGCTCCCAGTTGCATTACCACAATTCTGATGTGTCTGCTCAGAACAGATGCCAAACAGAGGATATAAAATATTGCAAGGCCAATTTATTGCCATGCTATCAGGACACTGCCTGAAAGAGTAGAACAGCTCCTTATTATTGTACAGGTAAGGAAGAGGTTAATGTTTTGGGCAAGACTAAGTAAAGGTTCTAAACAAGGACTAAAAAATGAAGACCAAGATTCTAGCTGTCAATTCTCTATGCACACTTACTGGTCTGAAAAGGCATGCATTAATTAACTGGTGATGCCCTACAACTAAACTTGCTTGGCCTCATAGCATCCCAAATTCCACAATGATCTGAAAACCTCAGAAGAATCCAGAGTTACCTCCTTTAAAACTGGACTGTTATCCAAAATCAGAATCTATTTTGTCTGTTCTTTGTTCTAAAGGCATTTAGGACAATATTAAATCTCTCTTTCTCTCTCGTCCATCCCATCCCAACCCCTCCCTCCCTCCCTCCATCCATCCATTATCCCTCCATTCAAACAATACACCAGCTTGCTTTGTTTTCTGAAGAGGAATTTTGAATGACAAAATCTTTGAGATAGCGCAAAGAATTTCAATAAGCATTGGTGTACAATTTCTTTTTGAAATTCAATAAAACTATTTTCAGAACTAAAAGTAAAGCACTGTTATGGTTATAGAAATGAAAATTAATTTCAAATTTAATTTTGTCACAAATGAATAACTTAGGCTAGATAATATTTCCAATTGAAAATATCTTCTATACATACATTTGATTTTTTCTACAAACCTCAAGGATGTAATCTAAAAGTAAGTGACCATCTAGAAGAGCATCCATTGCTATATTTGTGTGTATTTGGGTGTATGTGGAGGGAGGTATCTGAGAGCAAATCGAAAACATCCTTATTTTTTTTAGTGATCTGCATTTTTTTTCCCATTTGAGACAGGGGTGGGGAATTGTGGCCCTGCTGGCTCAGGAATTCTGGGAGTTGAAGTCCATATGTCATAAAGGGGCCCTAAGTTCCCCACCTCTTATCAGAAATTAGGAGGTGATAAGCCATCTGGGAAAGCCAAGGGAAATCATCAAAACAATTAAAAAATGAAAATTAGAATATTTCGGACATGTGATGCAACACCCAGAAAAATACGGCATACTCCATTTAATCCTCCAGGGAAAGATTGGAGGCAAACGAGATCCAGGCAGAAGAAGAACATCATGGCTTCAAAATCTAAGGGACTGGTTTGGACAAAACTCAGCAGCACTTTTTCATGCGGCTGCTGATAAAAACAGGATTGCCAACATGATCGCCAATGTCCAATAACGGATATTAGGGTCACCCTGTTTAGGGTGACCCATTCCCTACTTAATGTTTGGGAAGCTGGGGAGCCCTTACAGGGTAGAGCGGAGGAATTTGTGCAATTCTTATCAGACAAAATCGCTCGGATTCGGACAGACCTAGACTCCGATTGGGCAGGGCCTTTTGAGATGACTGGGGCAGGTCTTAGCTCAGTTTTATGGGATGAATTTGAGTCTGTGACCGCTGAGGATGTTGACAGAGCAGTGGGAGCGATGAGCGCCTCCGCTTGTTTATTGGACCCGTGTCCTTCCTGGTTGGTCTTGGCTGCCAAGGAGGTGACACGAAGCTGGCTCCAGGTGTTGATCAACGCTTCGTTGAGGGAGGGGTCTTTTCCACAATCCCTGAAGGAGGCAGTTGTGAGGCCCCTGCTCAAGAAGCCTACCCTGGACCCAGCTGATTTAAATAACTTCCATCCAGTCTCCAATCTCCCCTTTGTGGGGAAGGTTGTAGAGAGAGTGGTGGCGCTCCAGCTCCGACGGTCTCTGGATGAAGCGGATTATCTAGACCCTTTTCAATCTGGCTTCAGGCCCGGCTTCAGCACAGAAACCGCTTTGGTCGCGCTGATGGATGATCTCTGGCGGGCCCGAGACAGAGGTTATTCCTCTGTCTTGGTGCTACTTGACCTCTCAGCAGCTTTCGATACCATCCATCATGGTATCCTTTCGCAACGATTCAAAGGGGTGGGAGTGGGAGGCACCGTTTTACGGTGGTTCTCCTCCTACCTCTCTGGCCGGTCGCAATCGGTATTGGTGGGAGGGCAGAGGTCAACCCCGAGGCCCCTTGAATGCGGCGTGCCACAGGGTCGGTCCTCTCTCCCCTCCTATTTAACATTTATATGAAGCCGCTGGGTGAGATCATCAGACAGCACGGGGTGAGGTTTCATCAGTATGCTGATGATACCCAGTTATATATGTCCTCCCCGAGCTCTCTCAGTGAAACGGCCGATGTGATGGGCCATTGCCTCGAAGCCGTGAGGGTCTGGATGGGGGTTAACAGACTCAGGCTCAATCCTGACAAGACCGAGTGGCTTTGGATGTTGCCTCCCAAGGATCATGTCGACTGTCCAGTGTTGACTCTTGCCGGGGAAAATATACCCCCTTCGGAGCGGGTTCGCAACTTGGGTGTCCTCCTTGATCCACAGCTGAATTTGGAACATCAATTGACGGCTGTGGCTGGGAGGACCTTTGCACAAGTTCGCCTGTTGCACCGGTTGCGACCCTACCTGGACCGGGAGGCTCTCCTTACAGTCACTCATGCCCTTGTCACCTCATGTTTGGACTACTGCAAGGTACTCTACATGGGGCTACCCTTGAAAAGTATTCGGAGACTACAGTTGGTCCAGAATGCAGCCGCGCGAGTGATAGTGGGTGCTCCTCGATACACCCACGTTACATCTATCCTCCGTGAGCTGCACTGGTTGCCTATTGGTCTCCGGGTCCAATTCAAGGTGTTGGTCATTACCTTTAAAGCCCTATATGGCTCAGGGCCAGGCTATTTGCGAGACCGCCTACTACCTCATAGTTCCTTACGTCCAGTTAGATCCCACAGGCTGGGCCTCCTTCAGGCCCCGTCGGCCAAGCAGTGCCATTTGGCGGGGCCGCGGAGGAGGGCCTTCTCTGTGATGGCGCCCACGCTTTGGAATCAGCTCCCCCCGGAGATTAGGACCGCTCCCACCCTGTTCGTCTTCCATAAGCTACTTAAAACCTGGCTTTTCCGGCAGGCCTGGGGTTTATAAAACCTTACCCCTGGATGATTGTTTTTGTATTGTTGTTTTGTTATGTTTTATGTGTTTTTTATTGTTAGCCGCCCAGAGTCCTTCGGGAGTGGGGAGGCTTATAAATTTTAAAAATAAAATAAAATAATAAATATGGCACAAGAAGAAGATATAACCTGCAAATACAAATGTGCTTGCACATTCACGCACATACCCACACAACAATATACAATGCATTCCTCCTTTTAGAGAAAGCTATAAAATTCCCATGATTTCTCCAACTAATCCTAGTAAAAATTAAAAAGGTGAATTGGATCATCATACCCAATGCTGAGAAATACAAACCTTAACAAACTTTTGCCCAGTCCTGAAGCACAATGGGGATGAGTACACATATGCATGATTTCAAAGGAAATGTAATGGATTTTAACAAGAAATTACTTTATTTAATAAATGAAGCCAACTCTCTAGATGTAAAATATAAATAATTGGAGAAAGAAATATACAGAAAAACAAAAGAAGGGAAATTTTAAAAAAACAGTCACACAGGCAAAATTCCAGATAAAATAAAATATTAGGAGTTTGTAAATAAATAGATTTATTATAAGCCAAATAAATGTCAGCAACTTCAAGTGGTAAATAATGTATGTGGTATGTTTTTGCCATACCACATACATATCACAAATAAGCAACAAAAGACTTGCAGCTACTTGCTTGTCAAGGTGCTAGACAAGGGACCAGATTATCTGAGGAACTGTCTGTTGCCAGCCACATCTACCTGGCAAACTAGAGCCAGGAGGCAAGAAATGTTGTGCATCCCATCCCCTAAGCAGGTATGTCTGGCAGGACGGTCTACGACAACTCGCCATGGAACAACTCACCACGGGACAAGAGCTACATTAATAGCAAATAAATAGTGGAATAAAATCATTAAACAAAGGATATCAAAGGAGGGACAAAATGAAATGTGAATGATAACAATTAAAATATATTTTAAATTAATTTAAATAATTAAACTGAACTGTTGAATTGTCCTGCAGTGAGTTATCCCGATGAGTTGGCCATGGTGAGTTGGTTGTAGTGAATTGGCCATAATGAGTTGACCATGGTGAATTGGCTGTGGTGAGTTGGCTGTGGCAAGTTGTCCTATTCCGCTGGCGGGATCCAGAAGAAGGGCCTTCTCCTTATCCCCACCTTTGGAATATCATACCTTCAGAAATTAGACTGGCCCCCACTTTGACACACTTTCGTACGGCCTGTAGACTTGTTTTGCCAGAGGACCTGGGGAACCCAGAGTGGGATTGAGCCCATCAAATGCTTATTTGACTGTGTGTTGTCACTGGGGAGGGGCATTGTTTTTTATTTTTTTCTATATTGTGTTTTTATTACTTATAAACCACCTGTTGCTATTGTAAATGAGCAGGTGGCTATATAAATTTTCTAAACTAACTAACTAACTAACTAACTACAACAGAAGCTCAGTATAATGCAATCAAATCAAGAAATTATCAAGACAAATGTCTGCAAAAACAGGTGAATCATCCTAAATAAAAAGTACAAGACTAATCTATGGATATGATCTATTTAATCATACTTACAAGTACATCTGATTTGTTGCTCAACCCTTTCCCATAATTGTCCGTTGCGATGGCCTGAAACTTGAAATAAGATCGTCGCATGTTTTTGAAGAGCATTGCTGTTTTGATCAGTCCTGTATATGGTTCAATCACAAAGCCTTCCTTGCCATCTTTGATTGGAGGGATGATGAGTCTATACTGAATGGCACTGTAGTTGCCAGTGTCTTTATCATGGGCCTGATGGGTAAAAATGAGAAGTGACATGAGAAAAAAATCTATGTGGGGCCTTGGTTGTTCTCTGAGCTTGGGGTTTGTTTTTTTTTTGCAGACATTGCATTACCCAACTAGGTAACATCCTCAGTGCTAGAAGGCACTGGGGTTTGCTCTCTGTTTAGATCCATAAATATATCTATATTAATTCATAAACATAATGTATCCATATTAAATAAACTTAAATAAAGGTATTGTCTACAATATCAGTGACAGCAAACGTTCTGAAATATAAATATTTGTTGTGTCATACATTTTCTAGTATTATCAAGATTTCCAAAAGAAATTAGACCATCCAAAATGGGGAATTCAAAAAATTCAAAAAAGGAGAATACAGTATACAGGAGCTTACAGAATTGCCTAAAATAAAGCATGTATCTTGTCAGTGAAAAATACCTTTTCCATAATGATAGACATCTATGGAAAAGTTCATCCAAAATTAAATTTTAGAGTGCCCTTAGTGAAATGAAAAGGTTAAATAATATTCAATATTTTATTTAAGACATAGATCAAGCCTGGGTGATCACTTACCTTTTCAGAAAGAGTTTACAAAAGAAACAGGCTTGGTTATTATTGTAAGCTGTGTAATCATTATTATGCCAGATGCCTGATAGAGACTTTGATCAGGATTTAAACATGGACTACTTCTGTATTGCCTGCTCAGTTAGAAGGCAGTTGTAAAACACAAGCTAGAAATTAAGAATATTTAAAGAATTAATCTTTTCTAAAAATAAAGTCTGATCTTATCTTTACCTTAAAACTGTTGTGTAGAATGGAATTAAATTACTTTTTGCATTCCTCCTTTCCCCTACTAAATTTTAAAGTTTTCAGTTTAAAAACATATGAAAACACCTCATAAACTATTTACAATAAAACACAAAATAAATCAGTGTGTGTGTGTGTGTGTGTGTGTGTGTGTGTGTGTGTGTGTAGTGGGGAAAGATATTCTGGCTTAAATCCAGGTTAAGCCACAGCATATATTTGACTGTGTATTTGATGCATAATTTCTAAAAAATTAGAAATCAAGTAGAAATAGGGACAGCTTAATGAGCGCACAGAAATGCATATAAAGATGATATAGACCAGGAATAGAACGATAGAACTGTCCCTAATTAGCACTTGATTAAAGTATTTCAACATTTTAATGTAGGTAGCACTGCTTCTTTTTATCAACTGTATTCATATGTCACTGTTATTTATTCAAAGATCTTTGAACCGAACTGAAGGTTTTTTAAAAAAAAGTTTCAATTGTTCCAGAACCACCAGAGAGAGCTTGTGTGTTACCAATATCAGAGTGTGCCCTAACCCTTTTTTACCTAAGAGAAAGATGGTTGCAATCCCCTTAATTTCTCCTAAAGGCAAATATTTTTGTCACTTCATTAAGGAGAGATATATGATGCTTCAAAGGTTCTGATAGGCTGTCAGAGAAGAGAAAAAACTGTGGTTAATCTTAATGCAGGGGTAGGCAATCTTGGCTCTTTTATGACTCATGGACTTCAACTCCCAAAATTCCCGAGCTGACTCGGGAATTCTGGGAGTTGAAATCCATGAGTCATAAAAGAGCCGAGGTTGCCTACCCCTGTCTTAATGGCAGTATATCTTTTCCTTTGTTTATGTGGCATATATAAATAGGCAGATGTTTTGACTACTCTCTATGAACAAATGCAGAGAAATTGATATGCTTTATAACAAGGACAATTTTAATCTACTAATTAGATGTAACTGTACATTACTGGCTGCACATTTACACTCAGATTGAAGTCTGAAACTTTTGTTTTCCAAATTAAGCATTGATTGAAATCTCTTGTCACAAGAATCTTCATGCTTTTGATTCATATATAAAAAAGGAGCTATTTCATACATTCAGCAGCAAGAGAAAGCTATTGAACGTGAATGATAAATGGCCTATAAAAGTTTTGAATTGACAAATGCATGATTTGGCTTTGTTTAAAATTGTAAAAGCCAAGTTTCTATTTGTAATTACGAAAGAGGAGACAAGTAGTTTACACAGCACATTCACGTTACACCTCATGTACATCATAAATGAGAAAGAGGATGTTTCGGGCTCACAAGAAACCAACTGGATAGCTTCTAACTCCATTAGCCCATTAGCTCCATTAGAAATGTGACAAATAATTATCATTACTAGGAAGGATAACGACTATTAAGATGAATATCCTACCTAAATTGTTATTTTTATTTCAGACGGTTTCTGTTAAATTAAGCCAGGAATTTTTTGATAACTTAAATGCAACAATAATGAGATTTATATGGCAAGGGAAAAAAGCAAGAATCAAAATTAAACTGCTACAAGAATCAAAAGACAGAGGGGGCTTTGGGCTCCCAGACTGGAGACTTTATTATCAAGCCACTATTTTGTTGTGGCTTAAAGAATGGATCACACTGAGAAATAAATGACTTCTTTACTTAGAGGGACATGATTTGCAACTGGGTTGGCATGCTTTCCTTTGGTATGAGAAAAACAAAGTACATAAATACTTCCAAACCCATGCCATACGGAATGTATTACTTTGAGAATGGGAGATAGTTAAAAAGAAAATTTATATGAAAATACCTGAGTGGCTTTCCACAATGGAAGCATTTGCATATCTGATTTTAATTAATTATGATAAACTTGTGGCCTATAAAGACATTTTAGATAAAGAAGGAAAACTTAAAGATAGGCAAGAACTTCAACAAACTGGCATTGATTTAACATGGTGGTCATACTTGCAAATTCAAACAAGATATGAAAAAGATGTAAAAGTAATGGGATTCTACAAAGAACAGGCACCACTAGATAAAATACTTTTGAAAACAGATGAAAATATGATTAAGAAACTTTATAAATTCCTGCTAAACTGGAAGATGGAAGAAGAACAAGTGAAAGAAACAATGATAGTGTGGGCAAATAATTTTGGTTATTCTATAGATTTAGAAGATTGGCAAAAACTATGGGACCGAAATATTAAATATACTAAAGCAGCTGCATATAAGGAAAACTTATATAAAATGTTTTATAGATGGCACATGACATCAGATAGATTAGAGAAAATGTTTAAAAGTGTATCAAATATGTGCTAGAAATGTAAACAACAACGAGGCACTTATTACCATCTCTGGTGGATATGTCCTTATGCTAAAAAGTTTTAGTTTAAGATCCATATGTGGCTAGAAAAGATGATTAAAATACAGATAGAATTTAAACCAGAACTCTGTTTGTTAGGAATATTAGGTTTGAATTATGGAAAAGAGAATGAGTATTTAACATTGCATGTGTTGACAACCACAAGAATAATATTTGCCCAATTTTGGAAAAATGAAAATTTACCTTCTGACCAGACTATAATAACAAAAATACTCAAATGTGCAGAAATAGATAGATTGACTTTAGAAATGAAAGAGAAAGAAGACACAATTTACTTTAAAACATGGGGGAAATTTTATTATTGGTTAGAAACATGCTAGAATGAGAAAAGGTTATGAAATTTAAAGAGACAATTGATAATTTGTATTTATATTCCATGATTATTTGTATGAACTTGTTCTTATTTCTTCTTCTTCTTCCTCTTTGTATATTTGTGATCTTAAACAATATGGTAAACTATAATTAATATGTAATATATTATTATTTTAAAGTGATTATAATTAATTAATAATAAGCATTGTTAAGTAGTGAAATGAATGAGATTTATTGACTAATTTGTTATTTACATGATTATATGGAAAGTTGTTTAATAATAGAGTAATTATTAAGATTTAATATGTAAACCCGGACTGGTAGACTTGCTGAAGCGATGTTATTTTGTGGGATTAATCCCACTTTTGTGTTACCCCTTTCCCCAGGTCTAACCTTTTTGTATGTTTCCCGTTGTCTTATCCTTTTTGACCCTATTCCTTTACAAAACTCAATATATAACGTCGCCAAGACACTTCCAATTTTACGTGGGAGAAAACCCGAACAACCAAAGACCTACATACAAATACCCGCGAAAACCTCAGAAAACAAACATCGAACCTCTACGGGGAGGAAATCCACCATCTGACCAGGACCTATGAAAAACTTGAAGTCCAAAGAGCTTCCATTTTATGTGACCTCGCATTCCTACGCAACTGCCGAGATCAAAATCTAATCCCCACATGTTTCCAACTGAAATTCCACTCCAACTCTGCAGCCACCAAACGGATCCTGAAAAGAACAGAATTGGCCCTAATCAGAAATGAACTTCACACAAAAAGATTCCTCCTAGACCGAATTAACAAAGATCTCCTCACACTCCACCTCAAACTCAGCAACAAGATCCACCCCGCACTTTGGGACAAATCCAAACAACTCGCCGTCTGGAGAGCCGAAACACAGACCACCCTCAAGACAGATACACACACCAACAAACTCCGAAGACTACAAGAACGCCAGAAACAAACCCCTCCTCCCTCACAGCCACACATGAAACAAACAGTGCATAACATCTCAGATAGGATCCTCACCAAAGCCGAAAACAATGTCCTTTCCAAAGGATTCAACTTTGCAGTCGCTCCCAAACACATCCCCACTGAAACCATTATATGTGGAGTTGAAACCAGCCTGACTAAAATCAACCCCGACGACGCCAACAGAATCAGACTCGAAATCACCAACATCCTCTGCACCAGCAAGCCACCCAAAAGCAACTTACCCAAAGAGGAACAGACAGCACTACGTAACCTTAAAGAAGACACCAGCATAATAATCCTACCAGCAGACAAGGGCAACGCCACGGTGGTTATGAACACATCTGACTACCAAACCAAATTAACCAACCTACTCCAAGACTCCACATACAAACCCCTAAATACAGATCCCACCACCTACCTGGAAAAAACCACCAGATCCAAAATAAAAGCCTCCCCCATTAGCGAAGAGATCCAGCAAAGAATCATTCCCAGAGAGAAATCATCCAGATGCCCCAAACTCTATGGTCTCCCCA